TCCGTCTGTCCGTCTGTCCGTCTGTCCGTTCGTCCGTCTGTCCGTCTGTCCGTCTGTCCGTCTGTCCGTCTGTCCGTCTGTCCGTCTGTCCGTCTGTCCGTCTGTCCGTCTGTCCGTCTGTCCGTCTGTCCGTCTGTCCGTCTGTCCGTCTGTCCGTCTGTCCGTCTGTCCGTCTGTCCGTCTGTCCGTCTGTCCGTCTGTCCGTCTGTCCGTCTGTCCGTTCGTCCGTCTGTCCGTCTGTCCGTCTGTCCGTCTGTCCGTCTGTCCGTCTGTCCGTCTGTCCGTCTGTCCGTCTGTCCGTCTGTCCGTCTGTCCGTCTGTCCGTCTGTCCGTCTGTCCGTCTGTCCGTCTGTCCGTCTGTCCGTCTGTCCGTATGTCCGTATGTCCGTATGTCCGTCTGTCTGTCTGTCTGTCTGTCTGTCTGTCTGTAAAGCTTGATTTTCATGCATCCGTTATACGTTGATACGATGGTCCGACGTTGCTCTGATTGGTCATAGTGTTTTCGCGTCACTTTTCATCCGTAAATATTTTACTTCGGCCCGTCAACGGACCCGTTCATACGATAACGAACGTTTTGACACTTTTTTGACTAATTTAATCATAATTTAATCTAACCTTAATAAAAATATAAGTAAAATAGCAAAATCGTTATGGAAACGAAAATATAAATTGACACCAACGTATATCCGATAAACGAAGGCATGAAAATGCAATAAATTTAAAAACTGCGTTATTTTCTAACCAATCAAAGTCTTTAAATTCTACCAATAAAATTAATATCAACGTATCGTCGGACAACGGATACATGAAAATCAAGCTTAACACGATAACTCAAAAACCGCTAAACCGATTTTAACTAAATTTGGCACAAAAATACTGTGACACCCGAGAATCTGGCTATTAGTTTTTGGTGGCGGTGGGGGATTGGTAAGGGGGTATGGGACGGGGTTAAAAATTTAAAAAAATCGTAACTCCAAAATTACAGTAGCTAGCGAAACGCGGTTTTCAATATAAGATTAGGAATAATATTTGCAACAAAATTTGTAATAACATCAAAATCAGTCAAAGTCGCAGTTTTTGAGATAAAAAAATTGGAAAAATTCCTTTACTTTGAAACTAAAAGAACTGCCTAGCAACTTTTTATTAACATATTTTAGTATGGGCGGCTATACGTGCCTCCCGCCGGCGGGAGGCACGTTTTTTTTCATTGTGTCAACATATTTATATTGTTTCATATTAATGTTTTAATACCTAGTTGGTTGCATGGAAGAGCAGCGTATGCTGAATGTCGCCAACTTTTTTTATTGTTTATATTCATTGTATACAACTTTTAAATAAATAAAGGCACTTATTATTATTATTATCATCATAAATACTCGTCAGCGAGTAATGACAGTAGTAGTAGTAATAGTGGTATAAGGTCGAGCAAGTGACGAAATATCCATAGAACTTTTTTGAAAAGATGAATCCGACACAGAGATATATTTTTTTTGGTCAACAAAGGTCTCTATCATAATTTTAAGCAGCAAGTCCTCTATATATTGAAAGCCGACTATTTGTATGCAGGTAAAGTATAAACTTGAAATCCTCCTTAAAGAAATAGAATACGGCGTCTGGGGCGAGCTAAGAAGATCGTAAAAATCCGGCGAAGTTTCGAACGTCACGCCTACTAAGCCGAAGAGAGATTACACACCACGTAAAAAGGAGTGGATATTGCGGCTTACGCGAGCGCTACGACTGGAGGAGCATTAGCCGCGACGTGGCTTTGCTTTTCGAAAGTCGTGGGTTATGAACTGCATCCGAATATCGTCACTCTGGCAGTGTTTTATTTCTTGCTGGATTAATACAAGCTTATATTGTTTTTGTTATGCTAAACATAAATAACAGAGTCAGAACCCCCTTGGGACGTTATTAAATGCCGAATTAAGATGCCAAAATTTCCTATACCGTGCTGGCAACAGTTACTTTTGGGTCGGCATTTACATGTGCGGAAGTAAATCGCATAGGGATCTTATTAAGTCGGAGTGAGAGAAATGCGACCGACCGACGCGACGCGCGACGGTGTGCTGTTGCGGCGTTGCCGATACGCCTTTCCCTATCAAGTAAAGTAAAATCACGATCGCAAACCGCTTATTTTTAAAAGATTTTTTTTTCAAGAGATAACTAGTTAAAATCATTAGACTTGTTTCTGAGCATCTGAAATAGAATTATAAAGATATCGTTAGGGTGTTATTTTTTTAATAACGAGAAAACGTCAGGAATCACGATAATTTAAAAAATCAACTTTTTAACACATAACAGGCCATAACTCAAGAACCACTTTAGATATTAAAACTTTTTTTTTATTATCAAGATCGGATATTTTACAATATGTTTACATAAGAAAAATTCGATAAGGTTGTTTTTTCCATTCAAAAATTGTAAACAATCCATCCATTTACTTTCAGAGCATAGCAATTTTCAGCAATCGTGTAATTTTTTTATTGATAAAGATTTTCACATACTGTCTACAAAGAAAATACAGCAGAAATATTAACAAAGTTCTTGAAAAAACTACAATCTATTATTTCTAATAGATTTCGAGATATCGATTTTTGAATTCAGAGTTCTAATAGCGCGACCACTATCGAACACCCACTCAATTCCACTTATTTTTACGAAAAATGCAAGTGTTTCTACCTTGTACTTAAAAAAATTCAAGCTATAGGGAAAATTCCAACGACCCGTTAATAAATAAACAAATCAAGTATCACGAGACATAAGTAAATCGTGAAGCTGAACGCATGAGATACACCTTTCCCTAGAACTTTAAGTACTGACAGAAGTATTGATTGGGTCGACCGGTCAACTGCGACAAATCTGCTATATCCCCTTCCACGTCTCTTAGCGATGTGCACAGTTTCTCGGTTTATTTCATACGTTTGGCAACGTGTTTACTGTCCTCTCTTTGTTCAGTACATCATAAACGCATTGTACTCTTCTTACATACGGAAATCTCGACCAAAGACTAACCTTTGCCAGCCCTTAGTATATAGCTTTTCCCAACTAGCATTTATAGTGACAGATACGTAACTGCTACTATCAAAGCCACTACAAAGTGGGCGGTGACCATCGGCGGCTACGTCGTATATTCGTTGCCTCTCAAAATATTTCAAATTATTGTATTATTTGCAATAGACACTCATGTAGTAATTAAAAAATATTAATAATTTGCTTAAAACTGGGGTCAAACTTAAAAATATTAGTCCACTGTCAGAAATAACAAAATAACTAAGGAAAAAAGCTTTAATCTAGGTAGTATGTTAGGCTTGAAGATGCATAATGTTTGAGCCATTTGGCTGTTCGTCTAAAAAGTAATGAAAAACATATGGCCGTTTTATCCGAAAAATACTTTATAGTTCCATATGATTCCACAAAGTACCGGGAACAATAACATATTAGGCCAACCCTACCCGTTTGGAGCTTTAAAATCTTCGGGTTGATAAAGTGACAATTGTAGCTACTCAAAGACGACTTTATAGAAACAATACCTTTTTTGGAACTACATGGTCAACGATTCTTCGAAACCATAAAGTGATTTTTTCCAAGAAATTTCCCTGCGCTACCAAACTCTCACTTAATTGGATCGTTAAGGTTAGGTTATTTTTATTTTTTTAAATTAGTATAAATTTTTCTGCAAAAAATGTTGATAAAACAGTTTCTGTTGAACTTTTGGCACAAAAACATTTCAAACATAATTTCAGTCTAATAACTATTTAGTCAACATGTTTAATTTATGTCAATGATGACAGGTATTGATAATTTCGATTCCAAATATTTCGAAAACCATTACTCGTAGTCATTTTTACCAAGAGACCTTTTTCACGTAAGAAACGTCGTAAATGTATATTTTTTTACTTAATAGTTTTATACAGGTACGGACGAAACGTTATTATTCTTCAAACCAGTTAAAAAATACGTAGGTGGCGCCCTCTACTAGTAGGAGTCACATTGACATCAAAATCAAATTTCTCATGTCAAAAAACTCACAGACACCAATTTTCATCCAAATATTGACGTTACTTCAGAAATTATTTGGAAAAAATCGAAATAAAAATGAAACTTTTACGCCCTGTATCTCCGAAACTAAGCTTTTTAGCTGCCGAAGTTTCCGGAATACAGTTCGGACCACTCTGTATATCCTTCAAATGCTCAATGGAACAAAATATAATAGCTGTATCATTTAATAGCTGTTAGTAAGAAGATTCCCTTCAAATATGCACACATAGTGCACACACAATTTTTTTTATTTAATTAAAGTTCTTTGTTTCTTATATTGCCAAATGTTCCTTCAAATGTGAAATAAGTTATAAAAGTAAACAAGTAGAACAATCTAAACGTGAAACGAAATAAAAAAACTGCTACAGAAAAACATATAAGGAGCATTTTCGTCGAAATACACGGGTTTCTTTTATTCATAAAGAATGATAAAAGAAAATTTATTTCTCTGGGCTGTATATTTTTACCCAATTTTCATTTTATTTCGTAACTTCTTTAATTCGGAGACCTCTGGAGGGAACAAGTATAAAAGGGAGAAGCTAAAATTAGTTTTAAACGAAGTTCCTAAGGCGAAAGATTTTTTCAAAATAATTCTCGATCGTTCCCCAGAGACTTTGTAGCTAATTATATTATAGAAAAATTATGAAATTTTATGAAATTTTAATTAGTTTGTGAGAAGAAGTATTATTTTTAATTAAATTTTAAAAATACGCTCCATACTTCGATGCGAAGTGTAAGTGTGTTTTCTCTTTACCGTTTTTCAGAAATAGTTAAAAAGACAAGTCCAAAATAACCGAGATATTTTACTTTGATATAAAAAATGATTTTTTGCTGAAATATTTAGAACTACCGGATCTTTTTTTTGAAAAAATGAAAGGAGAACCCATAAGGCAAATTCAGCATTATATGCTGAACTAAACAAAAGGATTAGAAGAAAATGCAGAGATACAAAGGAACAGTGGATGACCGAGAAGTGTAGTGAAATCGAAAATCTTCAAGAAAAATACGACACATTCAATTTACACAAGAAGGTGAAAGAAATGGTAAACTGTAACAAGAAACGTTCCACAGCTATCTTACGGGACCAAAATAATGACATCATCTTAGGAATAGAAAATAAACTACAACGATGGAAGGAATACGTAGAAGAACTATTTAATGATAGCAGACCGAACACTCCACCGAAAGCGGATGAAAACATGAACGAAAAAGGACCTGAAATTACCAAAGACGAAGTAATTCACGCAATAAGATCCCAAAAAGACGGAAAAGCAACTGGCCCAGACAATATTCATGCCGAAGTTATAAAACTGATGGCTGAACAGGACGGAAGGGGGTTGCAACTGCTGGTATTCATATTCAATACAATCTACCGTACAGGGACTATCCCAACGGATTGGCTACGCTCGACATTTATTACCCTTCCAAAGAAAACCCACGCTTGGAACTGCGATGAATACCGCATGATAAGTCTGATGTCCCATGTCCTCAAAATATTTCTCAGAATAATTCACACCAGAATTTATAAAAGATGCGAGTACCAACTAGACGAAACTCAATTTGGATTTCGCAGTGGCCTAGGTGCTCGTGAGGCGTTATTCGGATTAAACGTTATCACTCAGCGTTGCAGAGACATGAATGTCAATGTAATCGCTTGTTTTATAGATTATAGAAAAGCCTTTACTGCGTTAACCATCAAAAATTTATAGAAGTCCTCAAAACAACCGGAATAGATAGAGAAGAAATTCGATTGATTACAAATCTCTACTGGCAGCAAAACGCAGTGGTTAAAATTGAAGGAACATCGTCAGAAGAAATCACGATTAAACGAGGTGTAAGACAGGGCTGTGTGCTGTCACCGCTCTTATTTAATATATATTCAGAGGCTATCTTCAAAGCTCTAGAAGGAATCGAATGTGGAATTAAGATTAACGGGAAAGTGATCAATAATATCAGGTATGCCGACGATACAGTTGTGCTGGCCGAGAATGAACAAGATTTGCAGAGGCTAATGAATGAATTAGTTCGGCATAGTGAAAACTGCGGTCTCCTCATAAATACCACAAAAACGAAGGTTCTTGCATTTACCAAAACACCTGGGCAGATTCACCTGGATATCAACGGTGACCCAGTAGAGCAAGTGTCTTCATACAAGTATTTGGGGTGTATAGTAAATGATCAATGCGACCCGAAGAAAGAAATTAGAAGCCGCATAGAACAGGCTAGAAAAACATTTATAAATATGAGACAATTTTTCACAAGGTCAGATTTGAGTTTGGAGCTACGGGTACGCATGGTCAGATGCTACATTTTTCAGTTCTCCTGTACGGGTGTGAGAGTTGGACTCTTGACATATCGTTAGAAAAAAAACTAGATGCCTTCGAAATGTATATTTACCGCCGTATATTAAGAATATCATGGGTCCAAAGAGTTTCAAATGTGGAGGTTCTTCATCGAATGAGAAAACAGAAAGAACTCATGTTTACCATCAAAGAAAGAAAAACACGGCCAAAAATAGGCCACATAATGAGGGGTAAAAAGTATGAACTTCTCAGATTAATAATTGAAGGCAAAGTCCAGGGCAAAAGATCTATCGGCAGACGCCAGAATTCCTGGCTGAAGGACATTCGTAGATGGTTTGGTTGCTCATCAATCGACATATTTCGTATGGCTGTATCTAGAATGACGTTAGCTATTTAGATCGCCAACCTTCGAAAGGAGACGGCGTCGTAAGAATTTGTAAGAAGATCTTTTTTTGGGTTTTCTTTCTTGTAAATTTAATCTACTACCTATATAATATCATCATCATCATTTTCAGCTTATTCAACCATTTCCAATTATGATATAGCTTCCCTTATTTACTCTCTCTGTAGTTGAGCCCATCGGTGTCTATTGTTGGCTATGCGGACCCAAGTTATCCCTGCTAATTTCCTAATATCGTGGTCCCATCTCAGGTTCGGTCTTCTTCTAGGTCTCTTGATTCTTCGTAGGTACCATGTTGTAATTTTTGTAGTCCATCTGTTATCCGTTCTTCTTGCCAAGTGTGCTGCCCATTGCCACTTGAGAAATTTGACTATGTGGATGTGACTATTACCTCAGGGTCTTTTGTCGTATCCACTCTATTTTTTTACGGTCTCTCTTGGTTATTACCAGCATATTTCGTTCCATTGAGCTTTGTGCGACCTGCAGTTTTCTTATGATTTCCGTTTTAAGTGTCCAGGTTTTGCATGTATAGGTCATGACTGGTAGTACACTAGGGGGATCGAAACATCGAAGTTTTGAAAATAGTTTTGGAATACTGCGCAAAAGTTGCCAATTGGTATTAGAAAACTAATATCTATTTAAAGTTTTTCAATTTTTTCTTCATCTTTTGCCCTCTACCGGGCTTCAAAAAAAGTAAAAAATACAAAAATATAAAATTTTGATTTTTAGCCAAAATTTCAGGTAATAAGTTACTTTTGTAGCTAGAAATAATATATCTTATTGAAATATGACATTTTAACCCCCCTACTCAGTGTACCCTATGTACCAAGGTCAAACATTTTTTTTATAAATACCCAAATATTTACACACTTTAACAAAGAGTTAAAAATGTGTCGAGCAGAGCAATGCACTTAGAGCAGTTTTTTGCTTGTTTAACAATATTTTATGTATTCAGTATTGTTAAACAACCCAGAACTCACAACGGGGAGGTAATTGCTCGACGAGTTTCATCCCACCCTCCCTCATCAATTTATTTTTGCTCACTTATTGATCGTAGTCTTTTTTGACTCAAATTGTGGCATAAGTTTGCGCGAATCTATTTTTGTCTTTATATACAGGGTTGTTCACCACATATGACACGGAGAATGGTAGCTAAACGATTAGATTTTTACAAATTATAAGTTTTGAGTTCGTTGAAGGACTATTAGAGCTACAATTTAAAAATATTTTTACAAGATACAGAGTGTCCCAAATAAATAAAAAATATCAAAGTTGTATTTTTTTAAATGGAACACCCTGTATATTATTGCATTTTTAGTTTCTACGATTAAAATAAAGGTAAATTTGATTAAGGTTTATTACACTTAAACCTTACCGTTTTTGAAATATTTTCAATTTTGCGAAATTGCAGTATAAATTTTAAGGGTTCATTTCTCCGAGGGTATCAAAGTTTTTAATACTAAATATTTACTGAAGTTTATTTATTGACCAGTTATTGTGTTGCAATAATAAAAATTATACTACCTTATACAGAGTGTCTAAAAATTTATTTTAAATAATTTCTAGCTTTAAACGGCAATAACTTGTTTACTTTAAATGGAACACCCTGTATATTTTATGAGAATCAGATGCACAACTTAATTGTCTATCAAATTGTATTATACCACTTTTTACCTATCCCTTCAAGTTTTCGTATTTTGCGGAAAATTAGGATATTCTTATGATTGAAGGTAACAAACATTAGAAATTGCAATATTCATTAAATCCATAGGCAAGTGTGAAGGAGATTGGCCAGATTCATTATTATACCGTATGATCGAAAAAAAACGGCGTCCAGTTTTTTCGATATCATTTTATATATATTTTTATGTCATTTTATATGTAGAATTATATGGGGAATGTCATCAATCGTCATTTCCAAATAAACAGGATGCCGTTGTTTTTCGATCATACGGTATATATATATATATATATGTATATACACGTTTAAAACATATATATATTTACATTATTTTTTATTTAATTATACATTATACACACGTTAATAAATAAATAATTGTCTTGATGATCAGTTCACTGTGACTGTTAAATACATTTTGCATTATCGACTTAGATATTCTAATATTATAAAGGTGGGACTATAAAATACAAAATTGTATATGCATTAGTCAAAAATAAACGATATATTAGTTAACGATTTAATAAATATTTTGGATCGTCTAGGTAAAAGCTCATTTCTGATGTTACGCGCATTTTCGCGTTTCTGGGGTCGAAATATACTACCCTTAAAATATTTGCACTTATTTAAGGCTCACCCTGTCTATTTTACTATTTCTTTTATTTTGATGCATACGTGTAGGAACATTTAATTTTATTAACCTGTGAAAAAATACAAAACTGTTGATAAAAAAGCAGAAATATCGGATAAAAAATCTAATTAAAGCAATCGGCAAAGGTTAAAATATTGCAATTGAAGTGTAACATTTAAATTGGCTTATATTTTCCCATGGAATGGGTTCCGAACATAGAGCGTTAATTGAAATCGAAAATGTTTTTTTTTAAATTCCGTGAAAAAAAATGTGATTTAATTTTTCGTATGTATTATATTAAGGTTGATTCTCATTATACTTTCCGTTTTCATTCCATATCCGTTCCGTATTTTTGACTGTATTCACGCTAAACGTAATGCTTCCGTTCCGTATCAGATCCATACTTTTTATTGTAAAATTTATATCATTACCAAAGTTTTATTTTAAAAATTTGTATCTTTGGAAAATGGTAACAGGTTTAATTAAGAGCCAAAATGTATGGAAGGAAAGGATATGGAACGGAAGGGAAACGGAATGGATAGTGTGCCATTGTCCTATTCATTTAAATTATATAATATTTTATGTAAACGGAAGAGAAACGGAAGGTAGCTGATACGGAAGGTATAGTGACAATCAAGCTTTATAGTTTGACTTGTGTGTTTCCATAATCTAAGTGTATATGAGACACATATATTTAATTTTCCATAGCAAAAAAGTTACAGCAATTTGTTAGAAATGCATATTTTTAAAAAACACCCCGTAACTCCGAAACGGTAACAGATATCGATATGCGGTTTTCACCATCGTGTTTTTGACAAAAATTGAGCTCCAGAAATCGATATTAGTTTTTGTCTATCTCCTATAGAAAAGGGTGTTTCCATTTAAAAACGTCGAATTTGACCCACCCTGTACATTGTCCTATTCATTTGCATGATATAATATTTTATGTAAACGGAAGCTAGCTGATGGAGATCGTATAGTGAGAATCAACCTTTATACTCCAGTGATTAAAAAAAACGGAAAAAATTGCCCATTTTCTATAAACCTACTTTTAAATTACAGATAAACTTTATGAACTTTCTAACGTATGTTTGTAATAAAATGATTTTATCGGTTCACTATAACGTTGTATTAGTATCTATAAAAGGATTTTATTTACCACCATAATCGCTTTTAAAGCAATATAGCCGTATTAGTTTTTATAGGTCCATTATTTCTCTAACATTAAGGTATTTGGTCATATATATCTATGATAATAACCGTCCATTTATTTGAAAGTAATTATTAATCTTTAAATAATAGCATATATTGTTTTATTAGGAATAAAGCTTCATTCAGAACGTCGCAATTAGTGGAATAAATTAGTGGTTCCAATTACACTTCATACTTTTTAGTTTACGATCATTCACAATATTTTAAAAAATCACAATTTAAATTAATATAATATCCTAGCAACAGCTTATCCTAGGCAGCTCTACAGCGAGAAATTAACTGAGTATAAGAAGGAGATAAGAAGGGCAAAGCGGTCTGACTTTAGATCCTTTTGCGAAAACATCACTTCTACTCCTGATGCAGCTAGATTACACAAAGCTATGGCCAAGAGTGGATCTATCCCCATCATGGCACTTAAGAAATCTGACGGAAGCTACACGGAGGGAGAGGAAGAGAGAGCAAATCTCCTACTTTATACACACTTTCCAGGTAGCATACCTATTGATACTTATGTAGCTCCCACTGAACCTCACAATCCTTGCAGGGAAGATTGGGAAGTGGCCAAGCTAGTAATAACAGAACAAAAGCTGAAATGGGCGATCGACACCTTTCAGCCCTATAAAGCAGCAGGAGTGGATGGGATCTTTCCTGCCCTTCTAAAGGAGGGTCAGCAAATAGCTACTCACCATCTACTAAGCATTACAAGAAGCAGTCTAGCGATGGGATATATACCAACCACATGGAGAAGAGCAAAAGTAATCTTCATACCCAAAATAGGCAAAACTGACTGGACAAATCCCAAGTCATTTAGGCCTATTTGTCTCACATCGTTCATACTAAAAACGCTGGAGAAAGTAGTTGACAACCATATTGGAGAAAATCATCTAAAGGTTAAACCACTGCATGATAGTCAGCATGCATATAGAACGGGCAGATCCACAGAAACTGCTCTGTACCAATTAACGGAGCTAATACAGACAAGTCTGGATAGCAAAGAAACAGCAATTTGTGCCTTCTTGGATATTGCGGGGGCGTTTGACAATATACCACATAAGGTGGTCAGGCGATCTCTAGAAACAAGAGGGGTGAACAGAACTATTATTCGCTGGTTTTGGGAAATGCTGTCAACACGAACAGCAGAGGCTCAGATGGGCACCAAAACTGTAGCTGTTAAAACAACGCAAGGAACTCCACAAGGTGGAGTAACCTCCCCTTTGCTGTGGAGCTTGGTGGTGGATGAACTACTAGATGAATTAACTCTAGCGGGAATACACTGCATTGGGTATGCAGATGACATAGTCATGATCGCTCGGGGGAAACATGAAGGCACCTTGTGTGATATTATCCAAAGAGGACTCCGTATCACTGAGAGATGGTGTAGGACTGTCGGGCTGAGTATCAACTCAGACAAAACCGCGATAGTGCCATTCACCAGAAGGCGAAGTCTGAAAAACTTGAAAAGAATCCAACTAGATG